AATGTTTGAATGTGGACATGGCCTCATAGCAAGTAACAATGATACCCATACAATTATATCTCCTTCACTGGCACGCCTCAATCCAATTATTCTCTTTTCTGTGGACACCCGTGAAGATCCGGGGTAGATAGAATAGGTCTTCAGCAACCCATGCTTGCCTTAAAAGGCGACTATGCTTGTCGTAAGAGGCGACAAACAGGATCGGGTGGTCAGGCTCCCTGTTTTGGGTGATGCATGTCATCGTATCTCAATTTTGTGGATCGATGCTCATGATGCCAATCACTGGATTGTCTGGCCCAGACTCGATTATTTACAGACCTCCGTCATATAGCTGGAATATTGCTGAGTGCGGTGTTAAAAAACGTTTCAAAGATTCGCATTGGTTATATGGCGGCATCTGTGTCATCTGTGTGTAGGAGTATAACCTGATGTGAAACCCAGTAGGACGTACACGGTACAGACAAACCAAGGATCGTTTTCTGGGGTTCGAACCAACGAACATCGAATAAGAGCACGCATAAGCAACGAAACTCTTGAATGGTCCGATCCGTTCGTACCCGCCACTTTGTATCACTGTGATATCATGATGTTACTGGTTGTGCAAGTGTAAGAGAGTACATGGATGTTGTTTGTCAACGGAGTCACCAATATTCCCCCAGTCACATCACGATCCTTCCATGCAGTACAGGCGAATAGTCCCGACTCAAGCTTTAAGTAGCTACTTTGGAAGCTGTCTCCTTCAGTGTTACGTTCTTCACAACCAGTGAGACATCTTCCCGAGGCAAGGGCGTGAACTGACTATACAAATCCAGTTTCCACCCTTGCCGAACTAGGCTGCAATTATGGGGTTACATTTTGGCTGGTGTCTATGCATAGTCCAATCAAAATCGCGTAAAGAACTAGACATCCGTTTCGTAAACAACATGGATTTCAACGTGCAGATTTCGGTCGACTGCAGGTTTTGCAAAGCATGTGTACTGCCAGCTGGGCGTCGAGAGTTGCAAATTCTTTCATGTTTTTTTATCAAGGTGCTCACGTGAGTTGATGCACTTCGCGGGGTAAGTCCCGTTTTATTACAATATAGATCTTGATTATCGATCAGATCGTCTTGACTGAGCGTCTTGTTTGAAGCAAATGCAAGTGATATGAGAAATGGAATCTGATTGGTCAATAGGAGGAACATAGAAGGGACATAACTCGTAATAGCCACTGGTGGCGCTACGATCGAGCCTGGAAATTCCAGCCTAGTTCGGCAAGGGTGGAAAGTGGACTTGCCTCGTCTTGCCTCGGGATGATACGACTGAGTAGGTAAGAAAGTTGTTATCAATGTTACAGACACATCCCGGCGCGTTTTCATACACTCTTAAAAAAAAAGAAACGCATTGGTGTTTTGAGAATACCAATTAGATTTTTTCCCCCAGCAATCGTCATAAAGACAATTCTTATGTTTGATTCCCGTTAATCATGTCATTTGTGTTGTGCATTGCGCGCAAACACATCTCAAAATGTTTTTTGTAAACGTTTATCAGCAAAAATGCAAAGGATACATGGAAATTGCTTTCAGAAAAAGTTTTCAGCACAATGCACGTGCAAAATGTTGGAAACAAGCGTAGAGACACTGACTATAAAAGACCGTGCAAAATTCATTAGTTCATTACGAATTTTCTGACGTGAACGGAGATCGAAACATGACAGGATTAACCGCAGCTGACCGAAATATCGCCACTGGACGTTTGGAAGCAGGGGAGTCCCAGTCTGCCGTTGCAAGACACTTCAACGTTCACCAAAGCACCATATCTCGACCATCAATATACCCGCACTAATTCGACTCAAGATCATTCCAGAAGTGGAAGACCAAGAGTGACCTCCCCTGCTCAGGATCAGAACATCCGGTTGCATCACCTTCGGAATCGATTTGCTACAGCAACGGACACTGCAGGACAAGTGCCTGGTATGCGAAGAATTTCCGACCAAATCATCAGAAATCGTCTGAAGGAAATGGGAATTCAAGCGAGACGACCAAAAGTTGGACCTGTCTTGCGACGTCTACACCGTCAACGACGTGTCCGGTGGTGCAACAGAGTACAGGCATGGGATCTCAGGAACTGGCGACGCGTTTGGTTCAGCGATGACTCACGTTTTCTTCTTCAACGACGGGATGGAAGACAACGTGTATACCAACGTCGACGTGAACGTTTTGCGCCGAAGTGCGTTCGACAGGTGGACCGATTTTTTGAGGGAGTGTCATGGTGTGGGGAGCCATATGCTACACGGATAGATCACAGTTAGTGGTTGTCCAGGGCAATCTTACACCAAACCGATACATAGACCAAATTCTGCGTCCTCACCTCCTCCCAACTTTGGACCGCCAGAGGGAGCTGTTCCAACATGACAACGCTCGGCCCCATACAGCACGTGCAACAGTTAATTTCCTTGTTTATCAGGACATGAATGTCCTTCCATGGCCGTCCAATTCGCCTGATCTCAACCCGATTGAACATTTGTGGGACGAACTTGATCGACGCGTCCGTCAACGTCACCAGCGTCCCCACACACTGGCACAACTCGCCAACGCCTTACAGGAGGAATGGCGAAGAACTCCCAACGAAAAAATCCGAAGACTTGTGCAATCTTTGCCAAGGAGGTGTCGAGCAGTGACGGCTGCAAGAGGTGGTGTGACCAGGTACTGACCATGACACCCCCTTGTGGCTACATATGTGCAATGACTGAACTGAATTAATGCTGACAATGACGGCAATGCATTTGTCGATCACTGTGTCTAATTTCATTTGATTGTATTCACGCATATTCTGTGTATATACTTTTAATCCTTATTTTTTAACTGTGCGTTTCTTTTTTTTAAGAGTGTAGGTCGCTGAGACCCGGAAAGATCCGGGATAGAACAGGTCTTCATCAACCCATGCTTGTCGTAAAAGGCTCGCTGACTTGGTTAATGCATATCATCTCATCCCACTTGCGTTGATCCCTGCTCATAATGTCAATCAATGGATTATCTGGTCCAGATTCGATTATTTACAGACCGCCGTCATATAGCCGGACTATTGTCGAGTGCGGCGTTAAACAACAAACAAACAAACAGGTCGCTGACGTGTTGCACCTTTAGCCTATGCTGATGGTAAGAGGCGACTGAATAGATCGGGACTCAGGTTCGGTGACTTGGTTGATTGCACGTCATGGTACCAAGACGGGGTAGGTAGTTTCTGAGTAAGGCTTTTAACAACAAAACTACGAAGCCCACAAATAGCAATGCAATACAGGCGATGAATATAGCTGTTAGTGGAATAGAGGTATGCCTATTTATCATATATATAATGGGTGGGTTTCTCGGCAGGATAAAGCCAACGGATAAAAACGATATCCGTTGGGGTCATATGCGGATAGAGATGCAAATATCAAGGTCAAGTAGGGACTACTTTTACTCTTTACAAACAAACATGGCATCGCCCTTGTCATTCGGCGATCAAGTCAGAATTAACCATCGGGAATGTGGAGAAACTACAGGGATAATTGCTATCATTATGAAAAGAACAGTCTTATATACTGAAAACCAGTGTCTTACTGTGACGTAGCTGGGGTATTTTACGAGTTTTTGCACTTTTGGCGATCTCAATTGCGAAACAATTTTGCGAGGGCAATAGCCATCCCCAAACACGCTCGCGTTATAACCTCTATTATCATCCAAAACTGGCTCCCACAGGAGATATCGCCTGGATGAGATCAAGCGATATCTACACTGTAGATATCGCTGCAATGAAATTACATCACAATGCTTTGCAGACCAGCGTGACGTCATAGGTTACATGACGTCACAATCAAATGACATCACTAATGGCTCTGCTACTGAAGCTGTTTGCAGTACTCTTTACACTGAAGACACTGCTTATAACTGTCTACAAACTGAAAAAGTTGGAAGAATGATGTTGGATGATAAATAAAATCTCACCCTCGTGTCTTTTGACATCAAATATATCAACACTCGTTGATAAAAGTGGCAAAAATCCTCGGCAAGCCTCGGAATTTTTCCACTTTTATCAACTCGTGTTGATATATTTGATATCAAAAGACACTCGGGTGAGATTCTCTATTTTACTGAAAATAAACAAATCTAGACAGAGGAAATACAATAATTTTATTTTCTATAGGCTGACAAATATAAAAACAATTTGATAACATGGACATGAACAATTCCTTCTTTTTCTCAACAATGAAACAATGACGATTTGCAAATAACATCATGGTCAATGTCACGTGCATATCCACAACATTCAATGTTTATCTCACGTCAAATAACGATAAATAAATAATTCGCACACCTCATACTACGTCAACGTGGTGATTTCATGAAAGTTTTTGAACTCTTTGACATTGTGAATTAAAATCAATTTAACAGCCGCAAAACCAAATATACCATTGTCCTCCTCGTGTATATATAACGATGACACAGAGAACCAACAGTTGCTGATAATGTCAGCTGACCATTGTAAAAACTAGTGTAGGTGGGATATTAGGTAACTATTTGAGCAATAAAATGCATTGCCAAATATACCCATGACGCGCACGTGTAACGTGAAACAAAACATGTATTGTCAGTCCGTCATAGCACATCATCTATTCATGTTTAGGTGACCCGGTCAAATAAATGCAAAATTGTTGTATGACATTCATGTATGCCCTTACGTACTCACACCGATAGATCCAATTACTGATATGTTGATAAATAGGTACAATTTTACGACGGTGTTTTTATTGAACATGATCAAGCCTTATTCGTATCTATCACGAGTGAAACAACAAACGACAAATTCAACTTGTTAATCTCTAAAATTAAAATTAAAATTAAAAAAAAAAAATTCTTCGAAAAAACCTTTCAGATCGGCTTAATACAAGAGCACAAAAATATTCAGTATTTAGATATATCTAGACTGTGCTTTAAGCAAAGCTGTCTTATGCTTACAGAAATGGTTCTGTTTCATATATTAAAATCCTTAAAATGAAAGTTTGAAAGAGTAAAATTTAAACATCCATGCTGTTTTAAATTATGTTCATTCTGACTTTAACTGAATTATAGCGAGTATTTAGACGCTGTTGTAACAATGACTTACGGGATGCAACTTTAGTTCATTGTAAGGTTTACGACAGAGGTGTCATCCATAAAGGAAAGAGGCCTTAACCCTTATGCTGACTTTTAAAGGGGCACTAGACTCAAGCAAATTTGCAGCCTCAGCTACTTTGACAGTGGTGCTGGTATTAAATGCAAAACCTAGAACCTGGCCTATTGTTGGCACCCGACCTCGTTGCACCGACCCTTTTAACAGTTAAACAGTAGCTTTGTCAGCATTATTCAGCGTTTAGTTCATCGTTTACTTAGAACCTTCTAGAAAGATATGTTAGATGTGTTATCTGGGATTCACCACAGCGTGAAAAGACAGGTTTCCGTTTTCCGGAATTCTTCTGGAAACCTTTGGATGCCTTTTGTTTCATAATTAATTGAACAAAATGCACTGCAAAGTGTTTGCCAATCATTTGGAAAGGCTTCTGGGCGGAATCCTGCCCCCCAGAAACCTTACGCCAATGATGAAGTATCCGGAAGAATTTGAGAGCGCAAACATGACTTTCAATGCTGTGCATTTATTGACATTAGTGTGTATGGCCGCTAAGTGACCCCGTGCTTCTTGACCAACAACATGGGACTTCATGTACCCGGAACTTGGTACCTGATGAATCTATCACTTGTCATCTATCCTAAAGTGACTATAACGCTATGTGAACTACTTAACACATTGACAAGACGAAAATTGAGGTATTTCAGTTATAATGATAAAATGTTTTGAATAACGCGTGATGTAATTATGATTTATGATATATAATTTGATCTATTATATATATTTATGATTTATGACGTATTTTGAGGAGTTCCATGACATTTGCAAACTAAGTTGTATATTTAACTTCACTCAGTAACTCATCCTTTTTTCTAGTTATGCGCACTGCAGTATATTTTACCAAAGACCTTGTTATTTCGTATCATCAGAACCGTCTTGTCATAACGGGATCCCGAATGACACTACCGTGAATTTGTTATTCAGATTAAACTTGATAGTGTATTTAATTGAGTCTTTAATGGCCTTATCAGAATTGGAAATTAATTTAATCTCACAACAGCGTTTGGATTAGATTCACGGGAGCATTAAGACCACATTGCTCTGCAAGGTACGCGTTTGGAGAATCGAACCCGGAGCTTCTGCGCGACAAGCGAACGAATTGCCCTCTAGGATAATGGAATATGTTCTTGCTGTTGGGACGGTGTTACCAATTACTGGTACATCTTTAATATAAGCAAATAATAAAATCTATGTCTCGAAAGTGAGTTTGTGTATAACACTGTAAAGATTTACATGTTGAATGTCTGTGTTGCATTTTCACCGCCTCACATCGTCAATACCTCCCGGGTTTGGTCCACTATGTTCCCCCAGTTACCGTGGTTACATACGGTTGCTTTTATAGTACTGTCGCTATTTTAACCAACGAATCAAGAAACGGACAGATTCCAGCAAGTGCTCTGGCCAATGAGCCGTCAGATTACAATATGGCTCGTGCAAAATTTGCCACAGTCCTATAACTATCACTCTGACACTGCCTTAAAATTCATTCATCGAGTAGGGCCCTTTTAACTTCGAATAGACACGAGTGACAACTGCTCCGGAATGCGGCCGTAGGCATTTGTTGATGATGGAGGCCCGTAGTATCAAACCTCTACAGACACGATGTGTCTAATGATATGGTTTATCTACTTTTGATAAACAAAATTGAAAGAAGTAACAACATAATAATAATGTTTGCTTGCGGTTATTAGCAATACCATTTACCTTTTGATAATTTAACCCAGTATTATGTCAATGGTATTAAGCGTTTTAAGAAACAGTTTCATGAATAAGTATTTTGCGATCTTGTTTTGTTGCCAAAGGTGGCGTTAGACTTAAACTATCCCCCATGGACTCATGGAGTGTTTATAAACAATTCCTGCTCAACTGATGAATGGACATAATGTTCTTTTTACAAATCAGTGTGTTTAACATTACAATTAGTGCTGACAATTGTTCTAGAAAATAGTTTCCCTCCTGTTTCATGAAAAATGTTGACTGGTTGTCTTTGATAAAAAGATTACAACTTCTTTCAAAGAAACATATGTATTGACTCAGTGACAGAAGAAATAATAGTCACCCAAGACTATTAAATGAACGGTACCTTACAATTGCCATCTGTAAACATGTACATGCTTATGAGAAAATCGGACAGAAGAGGCATGTTATAAAAGAAATGGTAATAAAAGTTATGGTAAGAATGCTTGGTTGAATCTCAAGAATAATATGCTTTTAAGTTTCTTTGTTTCTCAGCAACATTCCAGGTCTATGACAGCGGCATGTAAATAATCCTTGTTCTTATAATGATCCACACCACAAAGATAAAACGGACTGAACGATGACACCTATCAACCGTGTCGCCAAGCCTGACCGCCCCATTCATCAACTCGTCTCTTACAACCAGTAAGTGATGCTGGGGACCTCCATGGAGGTTTTCACGATGTTCGTCAAACAATATTAATTATGTAATGATAATAAATATAAGTGTAATACAACTACATAAGGAATGATGATCATGGATATCACAGATTACAACGAGGTAAGCAAAAAATACACATACGATATTAATGATAGGCAAATATCTCATCAATGACACAACACGAGCTGAGATGACCACATGTGTCTCACATGAACAGCTTCTGTATCTGCCAGTCATACATTCTATAAGGGGTTGACATTCAGGCAATAAATTCCAATAAATTTTCACAAAAAATGCGCTTTCAAACTTTCTCCTTTTCTTCCAGGGCGCGTGTTGTATAAACCCGCTCACTGTCCTGTTATTGTATTTATACAAGTGCACTAGCCATCATCGACCTCAACCTTGGCAATGAGACATAAGTACAACTTACAAACCAAATATTAGGAGGCGCAATGGCACACTTCTAGATATGAAGGGACGAGGTGAGAAAAGGTAACTACTTGACTGAACTAAAATAAACAATTTAAAATTTGTTTGTTGAATGATTTCTGTGAAATTTATGTGTTCAAATGACTGACAACTAGCGTTCAGGCTTTGAAAATGTTTGCCTCAAAACATCGTGAACTAAAGAGTAATATCGTGAACGACAGAGAAAGGTTTGAATCAAAGAAAAATGACGCTTTTTTACGCTCAAACTGCAAACGTACTACATATAAGAACAAGTCCGTGGTTCTGGTGTAGACACAGAGCAAAAAAACACCTCCGGTCAAGGACTTTTTTATGGGGAAACATGTGAAAGACCTTTTGAAATCTTCAAAAGCGACCTGTTTCAGTTTCCCCCTTCATTCTGTTAAAAGTTAAAACCATGAACAATTTTATTTTCAAATATATGTATGTCCAGAACACAAATTTCAAGCAGACAGAAAATGTCCCTTTTTCATACCTCGTCCCTTGGTATTTGGCACTACTTACTTTCAAGGTCATTGGGATTGCTGAGATCCGGAAGTTTTCTTATAAATCAAGGTACTACTGATGACCTCCATCCCGCTACGCCGCCAAAATGATACCAACAAGGGATAACACTCATGTTATACATTCGAGCAAACATTTAATCATTCTCCACGTCACCAAACGTCATCATCTCGTCACCAATGTGTGATGACAATATCGACAGTTGATGCGAACCACCATAAAAACAGTGTCAGTCATTAACAATAACATACATAACATCATGTGTGACAGATTCTAGTGATGTTTACAAACACATTCGTCTCTTTTCTTCTTCTTACTACAAAGATACTCCAGTTGAGACATTCTTCCATGTTATACGCTGACAATGACCCTCCTGCATGGCAACATTAAGACATTTTACAATGGCAAAAACAGAGGTGGCGGTTTCATCACGTTGATATGGATGAAACACATGGGAATTCTAGGTTGCCAATGTCAAGGACAGTTATTAAACATTGGTAACTGAGGCATTGTCTCTTAAGCATGCGCATTTGGACGAGCAGCCCCTTGAGTCCTTTACCAGATCGGCTATAGTAACTGGTGTTCACGCTTAAGTTGCATGGAACCTTTTCGGTTCGAGTACCACTTTCCAGGCAGCCACAAGGCCACGACCACAGAACTAGCAGCAGTAATGTAAATACATGACATCATCGGTGACGGTTAACATTTCGACGACATGTCTTGGTCAGGCGCCATTTGGCTTCTACTCGAGTCAAACATTTTTTTGTGGCTGAAACCCATTGTCGCAGGTTGATCAGTCCACGGGTGGACTCCTTTATCTATTAATACCGTAATGTTAAACATAGGCCTATTTGCATTACCGACAGTCACAATTTCTCACAACTAAATCTTGCAATTCTGCCCGTACTAAGTCATGGTTTTCGTCAAAGAGCCACACACTCAGTGGAGATGTTTCAACGGCACGGCATTTACCTTTCCTAGATTTTCCTCCACGTGACCGTTTGTTCCGGTTCCGGTTCCGGTTCCGGCCTCTCCGCCGCCGGTTCCGGTTGCGACGCATTCTGGAACATCTACCGATACACCTTGAGGCATCGTATCCGCCAGGGGTTACAATGGCATCGTCTAGTTCCATATCACTAAATTCTACATACGTGGACATTCTACAGCATCTGCTGCTTGTGACTGTTCCATTCCTATATGTGAGATCGGAAGGGTTACACGACAGAGACCGCTTCCGTCGATCAAAACTCTTATATCGCTGCTCTATTATCATGAAAGGAAGTCTTTGAGTGGACACTGTAGGGGGGTAGTTTCTTGCCGTACCACAACCGCGTTTTCGACCCATTGCTTTTGGCTTCCTGCCATGCTTACCTCCCTTTTTACCCTTACTCCTTCTCTTCTTATTTCTCTTGCACTTTTTCTTCGACATCTGAGGAAGCATAAGTCTTGTTTTCCGATTACAGCGTTTACACTCAACCCGCAATATGATAGTACTGTTTTGGCTCATTTCTAGATTTCGAACAAGTGAAATTGGTAAACTGATTCGAAACCAGTTCGTGCCTTGTATCCTTGTTCGAAGTTCCGCGATGACTTTATCGTCTTTGGAACTATTGTTGTACACACTGATTCGAATCATTTTCCCTTTTCTCTTCCTCCTCGCTTGTCTCTTTTTCTCCCTCTGCCAGACATGGATCCACAAGTTGACCCGAGTCACTACGGAGGCTTGATCTTCGCCAGATTTGTTTATGGTAAATTTCAGGAGGTTTTTGCCTGGAAAATATTAAGAAATTCGATACTTTTATTTCATAAAATTAAATGAAGATTAAGATGTAGCTAAGGTACATGCGTATACCCAGAAGGAGCTGCATAAAGGATAAAGATGAAGGTACAGATACGGATACATGATGAAGGTACAGATACATGATGAAGGTACAGATACAGATAAATGATGAAGGTACAGATACAGATACACAATGAAGATACAGATACATGATGAAGGTACACATACATAATGAAGGTACAGATACATGATGAAGGTACAGTTACAGATACATGATGAAGTACATATACAGATACATGATGAAGGTACAGATACATGATGAAGGTACAGATACATAATGAGGGTACAGGTACATGATGAAGGTACAGTTACAGATACATGATGAAGTACATATACAGATACATGATGAAGGTACAGATACATAATGAAGATACAGATACATGATAAAGGTACAGATACATGATAAAGGTACAGACACGTGATGAAGGTACAGATACATGGTGAAGGTACAGATACAGATACATGATGAAGGTACAGATACATGGTTAGGATAAGGATACATGATGATGGTAGAGATAGATGATGAAGGTACAGATACAGATACATGATGAAGGTACAGATACAGATACATGATGAAGGTACAGATACATGGTTAGGATAAGGATACATGATGATGGTAGAGATAGATTATGAAGGTACAGATACATGATAAAGGTACAGATACATGATGAATGTACAGATACATAATGAAGATAAGGATACATGATGAAAGTACAGATACATGATGAAGATACAGATACATGGTGAAGGTACAAATACAGATACACGATGAAGATACAGATACAGATACATGATGAAGGAACAAACACGGATACGTGATGAAGGTACAGATACATGATGAAGGTACAGATACACGATAAAGATACAGATACAGATACATGATGAAGGTACAGATACATAATGAAGTTACAGATACATGATGAAGGTACATATACAGATACATGATGAAGATACGGATACATGATGAAGGTACAGATACATAATGAAGGTACATATACAGATACATGATGAAGATACGGATACATGATGAAGGTACATATACAGATACATGATGAAGATACAGATACATGATGAAGGTACAGATACATAATGAAGGTACAGATACAAATACATGATGAAGATATGGATACATGATGAAGATCCAGATACAGATACATGATGAAGGTACAAATACAGATACATAATGAAGGTACAGATACATAATGAAGTTACAGATACATGATGAAGGTACATATACAGATACATGATGAAGATACGGATACATGATGAAGGTACAGATACATAATGAAGGTACATATACAGATACATGATGAAGATACGGATACATGATGAAGGTACATATACAGATACATGATGAAGATACGGATACATGATGAAGGTACAGATACATAATGAAGGTACAGATACAAATACATGATGAAGATATGGATACATGATGAAGATCCAGATACAGATACATGATGAAGGTACAAATACAGATACATAATGAAGGTACAGGTACATAATGAAGGTACAGATAGAGATACACGATGAAGATACAGATCCAGATACATGACGAAGGTACAAACACAGATACATGATGAAAATTCGGATACATGATGAAGGTACAGATATATGATGAAGATACAGATACATGATGAAGGTACAGATACATAATGAAGGTACAGATACATGATTAAGGTACAGCTACAGATACATGATGAAGGTACAGATACATAATGAAGGTACAGATACATGATTAAGGTACAGCTACATATACATGATGAAGGTACAGATACAGATACATGATGAAGGTACAGATACATAATGAAGGTACATATACAGATACATAATGAAGGAACAGGTACATAATGAAGGTACAGATACATAATGAAGGTACAGGTACACAATGAAGGTACAGATAGAGATACACGATGAAGGTACAGATACAGACACATGATGAAAATATAGATACATGATGAAGCTACAAATTCAGATACATGATGAAGGTACAGATACATGATGAAGATACAGATACATGATGAAGGTACAGATACAGATACATGATGAAGCTACAAATTCAGATACATAATGAAGGTACAGATACATGATGAAGATACGGATACATGATGAAGGTACAGATACAGATACATAATGAAGATACGGATACATGATGAAGGCACAGATACATGATGAAGATACAGATACAGATACATGATGAAGATCCAGATACAGTATGAAGGTAAAAATACCGATACATAATGAAGGTAGAGGTACATAATGAAGGTACAGATAGAGATACATGATGAAGGTACAGAAACATGATGAAGATACAGATACGTGATGAAGGTACATATACACGATGAAGGTACAGATACGGATATATGATAAAGGTACAGATACAGATACATGATGAAGGTACAGATACATGATGAAGATACAGATACATGATGAAGGTACAGGTACACGATGAAGGCACAGATACAGATACATGATGAAGATATAGATAAATGATGAAGGTACAGATACACGATAAAGATACAGATACAGATACATGATGAAGGTACAGATACAAATACATAATGAAGAAACAGATACATGAGGAAGGTACAGATACATGATGAAGGTACAGGTACATTATGAAGGCAAAGATACAGATACATGATGAAGATATAGATAAATGATGAAGATATAGATAAATGATGAAGGTACAGATAAAGATAGATAATGAAGACACAGATAAAGATACATGATGAAGGTACAGATACATGATGAAGGTGCAGATACATGATGAAGGGACAGATACAGATACTTGATGAAGGTGCAGATACATGATGAAGACACAGATAAAGATACATGATAAGGTACAGATACATGATGAAGGTACAGATACAGATACACAATGAAGGTACAGATACAGATACATGATGAATGTACAAATACATAATGAAGGTACAAATATAGATACATGATGAAGAAACAGACACATGATGAAAAGACAGATACGTGATGAAGGTACAGATACACGATAAAGGTATAGATACGGATACATGATGAATGTACAGATACAGATACATAATGAAGATACAGATACATGATGAAGGTACAGATACATTATGAAGGTACAGATACGGATATATGATGGAGGTAGAGATACAGATACATGATGAAGGTACAGATACAGATACATAATGAAGATACAGATACATGATGGAGGTATAGATACATGATGAAGGTACAGATACAGATACAAAATGAAGGTACAGATACATGATGAAGGTACAGATACGGATATATGATGAAGGTACAGATACAGATACACAATGAAGGTGCAGCTACAGATACATGATGAAAGTACAGATAAAGATACACGATGAAGGTACAGATATAGATACACGCTGAGTGAGTGAGTGAGTATGGTTTTACGCCGCTTTTAGCAATATTCCAGCAATATCACGACGGTGAATACCAGAAATGGGCTTCCGCATTGTACCCATGTTTGGAACACGGGTCTTCGGTGTGACGAGCGAACTCTTTTACCACTAGGCTACCCGACCGCCCCAGTTACACAATGAGTGTGAGTGAGTGAGTATGGTTTTACGCCGCTTTTAGCAATATTCCAGCAATATCACGGCGGGGGACACCAGAAATAGGCTTCACACATTGTACTCATGTCGGCAATCGAACCCGGGTTTTCGGCGTGACGAGCGAACGCTTTAACCACTAGGCTACCCGACCGCCCCAATTTACACAATGAAGGTACAGAAACATGATAAAGGTACAGATGCGGATACATGATGAAGGTACAGATACATGATGAAGGTACAGATGCAGATATATCATGACGGTACAGATACACGATAAGGGAACAGATACACGATGAAGGTACAGATACATGATGAAGGTACAGATACATGATGGAGATACAGACACATGATGTGGGTACAAATAAAGATACATGATAAAGGTACAGATACATGTTGAAGGCACAGATACACATACATGATGAAGGTACAGATACAGATACATGATGAAGGTACAGATACACGATGAAGGTACAGATACACATACATGATGAAGGTACAGATACAGATACATGATGAAGGTACAGATACACGATGAAGGCACAGATACACATACATGATGAAGGTACAGATACAGATACATGATGAAGGTACAGATACACGATGAAGGTACAGATACATAATGAAGATACAGATGCAGGTATTGGATGGAAGTACTAACTGCTGACGTCTGTTTATAAAGAGATAAGAATTCCATATTGCGAAATATATCCATCCTGATATTCATATAAGCATCACACGTTCAGACCCGAAAGAAGTAAGGATATTGGTGGAATGTAGGAAATGATTTGTGTATTGGTCTTTGTTTACTCAACATAAAATTCACAAATACTGAAACAGTTACAATACTCATCGGGCATGTTGACTAATTCATGACACATAACTCCGCGTATGCAACGATTCTGCCAGAGGTTGAGGTGTTTTCTCAGCGGGCAGTGTAACCACGCCAATCAGGAAACAGAAACATGACCGGCCATTCCTGATCGATGTGCCCGATACCGTATAACTTGGACGAGTCTCGTCAGAAGGATTATGTAGGATTTATGGGAAGACTATGTATAGAACTGACTCAGTTATCCAAGTTTCTCTTCAAGGAGGATTGTTACGTGCCATAACCATTGAGGCACTCCATCATATCAAATATTACATATCACTAAATGGGATTTAACGCTGGGCTGAGCGATTTTGTGATGATATAATTGATGTTTTTGGTTTATGGGGCAAATAGCATAAGGCACTCGGGGGACAGAACGGTATTAATAACAGCGAATTAGATGACTATTTGTTAGCATTCCAACAGCCACTCTTCTCCAGTAAGGTAGGTTTCTTATAATACTGTACATTATTTGTCACGAAATAAAGCGACCCCGTCAATCCAACCACATCGCTCCAAGTGAAATCGTCCGGATTACCACATATCCGGATTAACGAATCGTGGTCGGTAACACTGTCTCTTTAATTTTATAGATATTACAGTAATCACCCAAAGTGCAGGGTTTCCGGATTAACGAGGGTTCGGATTAACGAGTGTCCGTATTAACGGGGGTATGGAATAACGGGGGTTCGGAATAACGGGGGTTTCACTGGGATATATCACTCGGAAGATCGGATTTCCGGATGGGGTTCGCTTTAATGAGTAACCAATCTATCTAGGTATATTCATCGATACGCTATTGCACTATTCACTATAGCATAACATCTAAGACGTACCATGCACTCTTTGAGTTAGGTAGCTGGAAATACCATATGACGAACTCGGTGATGCAATGGCACTGTCATTATCAATGTTTGCCAGCGGGGGTATTAAGCACCACGGGTTGGCTACACATGCAGACAGAACAAACACGTCTCGTCGGCGTATTAATAGATTGTATGTAATACGGTTCAATGGCTAATTTATCAGCTGATTTGCCTTAATCGCGTTTGAAAAACTGTTTATAAGAAACTACCGCCGCCACACACCACGTATCATGCGAATGTTACACATTTAACGAACACAATCATAGAACGTCGATGTTTAATGACGCTTATGATAAGGTGACGAGGTGGTCTAGTGATTAAAGCGTTCGCTCGTGTCGCCGAAGGCGCGGGTTCGATGTCCATATGGGTACAATATGTGAGACCCATTTCTGGTGTCTCACGCTTGACATAGCTGGTACATTGCTAGAAGCGGCCTAAAGTCACACTCACTCCCTCACTAACTGCAAGAAGGTTGTTATGACGATGGTCATCATCAAGATGATGATTATGATGATGGGTACAATGTGTGAAGCCCATGTCTGGTGTCTACCGCCGTAATATTGTAGGAATATTGCTAGAAGCGGCGTAAAATCATACTCACTCACTCACTCACTTATGCTAACTGCAAGGACGTAGTGAACAACGATGATAATCATCAAAATGATGATGATGATGATGATGATGATGATGAATGATGATGATGATGATGATGATGATGACGACGACGAAGAAGAAGAAGACAACAAAAAGCTTACCCAGTTCACCCGGCGAGTGGGAAATTACAAATTGGGTATGCGATGTAACCTTGCCCTCATTAGCGTTATCCGGTTCTGGGTCTGTTTGAACGACTCGGACCCCCGATGTGTTCCCTCTGTATTTAGCAATCTCTCGCTGGATCTTGTCCTTCAAAACTTTCAGATAAAACTTGTCCTGTAATGACGTGTTTCGTGGCACTCCGTTGACTAAACCGGGAGGTAAGGCGACATTGGCAGAAATTTCTTGATACAAGAAAGCTCCCACGAGCCAAACCAGTGATACCCAAATAGTCTGGACACGTAACATTGCCGCTGGGGCGAGGGAGGTACAACGTGGGCCCACAAGGACTAAATCACCTTCGACACGAACTGAAAACAAAAGCGACAATTAGTTCAAATGAACATGGATTACGATACAGGGGTAAAGCTGGCCGCGTCTTAAAACACAGTACAACAATCAAGAAGCAGTACGATAGTCAAGCGGAAAGAGCGACCGAGAGTCACCCTTGAAAGGCCGGATTCGGTTCCCTTCCTGTGTGCACTCCTTTTTTCCGACGCCAGCTCGTCGTCATATTTATTGGAATACAGCTTGAAGTGGAGTACAACACGATAGATATGTTATATTTACATTCACCTTTACCTAACCAGACAGGCACACAGTCAATGAAAGAAACATATTTTATTGCAGAGCTTGAATTGCAAGAAGGTCCGGTTATCATTCGTATTGGAGATTGAACTGGTTTTTCCGCCGTACAAAATATCCATTTGCGCCATGCAAACTGGGACAATGTCGACGTATGACGCCAAGTGCATACATGAAACAATACTCTGTAAACGAAGTCTGTGTCTCTCGACAAATGGCACAAACAAGAACTCTCATGCATCACCCCGAAACGTGCATACCAGTAGAAATCAGTTCAATCTAGTTATGATTGGACGTTCATTATAATCGACAACGTACCAAGGGATCGATATGATTCCCCCTCCCTCTTATACTGTACGTAAAGTCGATAAATATAAAATATCAATGAAAGAAATATGACAAACTTCCACCGACTGTGGTATAACGAACACAGAAAAATATTCAGACTTGTTACATATTACTAACCTCAATAGGATTTAACTTCAGCCACATGATTTATCTTATTTCAGCAACATTTCCACATCTTTGATTTGTAACTTGTATCATGAACCTTAAGTCACGATACAGCAGATAACAATATAAATAAATATGCTTACAGTCCAAAATGTACATCCCACATGACACTAGTATTTTATCCAATGTTCGTGTAACCACGTAGATTGTCCTTCATTTAGAGCTAACGCTAATCAAACACAACTGAGAGTCGAATGCTTAGTCCCACCTTGAAACCATCCAGTTATCAATATCGACGTATTCTCCCCGCCGTTGTCGATGCAGTCAGTGGAGTTCCCGTTGTTACTGTTGATTATGTAGTGTCAAAAGATAGAACAGATACCGCCCACACCGCGGGGCGAGATTGGTTGTAGCAAAAAGGCAATGAAGCATCCTCATCTCAAACAGTTGATAACGGAGAAGATGCACCCACACTTAGAGTTTAACAATACCCTCCCACCTAACTACTAAAGTGGTTGTTTATTATAATTAGTGAGTGAGTGCGTGTTTTTTTTTGTTTAAAGCGCTTTGAACAGTATTCAAGTTGTATGACGGGGCCAGTTTTAAATGTGGGAGGACAGTGGGAAATGATGAAGGTTTAAGACATTTTCCACTTTATCGACCTACAGACACGGGCGTGGTTACAGAACTTACGTTACATCGGTTCTTGTCTTTCTACCAGTTCACGTTAAACACTATTCTTGCTCTTTTACACTATAAGAATCAAAAGCAAAACTGGTTTATCAGCTAACGTTGTTGCCACAGCGACATCCTGTGATCGTCCTCGGTGATCTTTCAAATGAATACCCAAGTTGGAAGATTATGAGTGAGATAGAGTTTTAACGCCGCTGTGTTCTGTTATATTTTACTACAGTAACTTTATTCTGTTATATTTTACTACAGTAACTTTATTTCAGCTCAATATGGAGGAAAGCCTGAAGTGATGCAGGTCTTGGACGTTTCCACTTTAGTCTGTTTGTTTGTTTGTTTGTTGTTTAACCCAACATTGAGCAATATTCCAGGTATATGACGGCGGTCTGTAAATAATCGAGTCTGGACTAGACAATCCGGCGATTCATATCATGAGCATCGATCCACGCAATTGGGAACGATGACATGTATCAACCAAGTCAGCGAGCCTGACCACCTGATCCCGTTAGTCGCCTTTTACGACAAGCATAGTCGCCTTTTACAGTAAGCATGGGTTGCTGAAGACCTATTCTACCCCGGATCTTCGCGAGTTATGGTTGATCCTATATATAAACACTGCGTCTCCGTTCAACAATCCTCAACATTCTCCTCTTTGCTTTCACCACGCACCCACGCACCCGCCCAACCACCGACCGATGCTTGTATTATTCCAACTGATTTATCATCGACTGCATCTTCCTCTACGTGACGCTGTGCGCTATGTGTGGATATGTCGGCCAACTCTACCTGCTAAACTTTATGATGTTTAAAGATGACGTCATAGGGCGGGTCATCCTGAAGCCAGTAAGATTTAAGGTCCACTAATGGACATGTTTCCTGCTTGACCATGATGATTAGGTCTATATTGTATTTATCCACCGAGTGTTGGAATCCCCCCCACCCCCGTGACCCCCTGGTACCCAGTAGCCTATGATGATGGTAAGAGGTGACGAAATTACTCGTTGGCTCGGTGACGTGGTTGATCACGTGTCATCTTTGCACACAATGGATTATCTGCCCTTGATTAGAAAATTTACAAACCGCCGTCATATACATGTAGCTGGGATACTGCCGAGTGCGGCGTTAAACGACAAACAAACATAGGTGTCATTAGCCTTGTGCAATACTTGATGTAATATATTGGCAACTATGCAAGTAAATAATGCAAAAATATTCTAAAAATAATCCCTAAAAAATCAAACAGTGAATTTATTTGGAATACATTTTTAGAAGTTTGCTGTTTCAATCAATTGCAAACTAAATGTATTTTTAAGAACGTTGAATTATCCTCAGTGTTAAAAACTTGTGAATTCAATTTTTTTAATTACCAAGAGAGCTGATATTAACTTCAGAAAGCTTCTTATTGCATTATTATATTGTTTGGGGCTTGCTTTATACAGGTAGAATTATAGTGACACAAGTGACGTTCAGAGAGAGTGATGTCCCAAGTACAGTAAACTACGGTTATAACGAACACGCTAATAACGAACTGACGGATATAACGAACTTATTTTTTGGTCCCGACTATTTGCTGCAGTTATGCTGTATATATGCTTATGACGAACTTCGGTTATAACGTACTAAAATTAGTAGTCCCTTTGAGTTCGTTATAACCGTACTTTACTGTACTTGGATATTGGGGTGAATTCTTTGTATCGTAGTATGACTGTGCGGTAACCCAATGTCGCTGAAAAGCTAAAAAAAAAGCAAAGTCAGAGGCGTTTTCTTCTATGGCCCTGATAAACAAGGATCATAATTGGAGCAAACTGTGATCAGCGGATTCTTACAGGGCTAAGGGACGCAACTCTGAAGGGAGAATTATTGGAATCTGGACTGCTTCCTCCAGGTTTTACAGAACAGGTCTACCATTCATGTGATAGAGGAAAAAATGACTTAACAAGAAAATCAATATATCGTTTGTCTGTACGCCTATCGACATCGCAATTTAAGCGATATGACCAGGTGCCATACATTGAAACACACGAAAATCGATATTAAACATTGATTTATTATACTGCAAATATTCCGATTCAAGAAAGAAACTAATTCGGGTCACGTTATTGCGCGCAGTTTATGGATATATTTCCATATAAATGACTTGAAGTCATTGACCCGAGTCAGGCGGTGGAACTAGTGCACACAAGTACAGAAAGGTCCCGCCCGCCTTACCCTACTGATGCTGCTGTTCCCACTAGCAATATACTTATAAGCGATAAAATATATTCTATTCATCTAAAGCTGAGTCCAGGGGAGATGTTCATCTGGATAGTAGTAACTAGATGACCAGACCTGTCTGAGATGTGTTCAAGTTCCACTGTTTTCTATAACACGTAGACGTGTGTTAGCATCCTTAAATAATGTATCATTAATCACAAAGATGCGAGTCAGTAAATATACGAAGATATTACATAAAGTGCCTGGAACTACTGCCGATATTATGTTCGGTTTCCGATGCGACGGTACGGCTGTCTGGTCTTTGGCGACGTGGCCGGTCTACAGCTCCACGATTGTAATGAAGTCAGGGATATTTGAGGCTTGCCGATCCAAGGATCCACAGCCATAACCAACTCTGTGAATCAAAGGTCTTCACGCTGAGGTGGAGATTAACCGATCGGCAGTGCAGCTATTACCGACCCTCTTTATTATGGTATGGCTGGTAATGCAAAAGTAATTTCACTCAGTCCGTATTGCCTCTTATAGACGACTTTTTTGTGTTATTATTCACTGGGACGCTGCACGGCCACCACACGTTGGGGCTCTACGAGACACAGCACTGCCAATACACACCCTTCCTCAAGAAGACAATGCACTTCCAAAAGTGTGGCCCCAAAAAGGCATCTCACTTCCCAAACACACCGGGCCCTTAAAAGATACTGCACATCCTAAATACACCAAGTTCCAAAAGACCTTTCATGTACAGCTGAAGCTACTCTTAGATGAGATTTCTTATGCAAATTGACAGGGTTTCGTCGTATTTATTCAAATACACGCCGGGCCTCTGATAGATTCGTGGTCCGAAGCAAATTAGGAAAACAGAGACCGGGCCTCTAACACACGTCGGGACTCTAATGACTGGGGACGTCAATTAAAGCAAAAACGGTACATATAAACATGGCTGGATTTTGAAAAGCAACATGTTGAAGCAGGTGAAGAAAACATCGAAGAATGTATGGACTTGTTCGTAGTTCTAGATTAGCCGTGTACGGTATCAGTGAGTGAGTGAGTGAGTGGGTGGGTGGGTGGCTGAGTGAGTGAGTGAGTGAGTGAGTGGGTGAGTGGGTGGGTGGGTGGGTGAGTGAGTGAGTGAGTGAGTGGATGGGTGGCTGAGTGAGTGAGTGAGTGAGTGAGTGAGTGAGTGAGTGAGTGAGTGAGTGGGTGGGTGGATGAGTGAGTGAGTGAGTGAGTGAGTGAGTGAGTGAGTGAGTGAGTGAGTGAGTGAGTGAGTGGGTGGGTGGATGAGTGAGTGAGTGAGTGAGTGAGTGAGATTGAGTGAGTGGGTGGGTGGGTGGGTGGGTGGCTGAGTGAGTGCGTGAGTAAGTGGGTG